AGGAGAGTCCTGGCAATGCCCTGGTACAAACATCCCCCTGCCCATGATCCCTTGTGAAAGAGGCCAAGTCACCCAGCGATGTCTAGTTAGACGTCCAGTTAATCAGAGACTCTGCAGTTGGGAGAGTAGAGGCCACTCAAAATCCCATTGGGTACAAAGGGAATTTGGAGGACACTCCAACCCACTTCCGGCAAAAGCCTCCTAGTAAATGTTTCTGGGATGCTGGAATTCATTTCTAGGAACGCTCTTTACCAGTTGCAGTTTCCTCAACATGGGAGGATCCTCTTCTAAGCTAGGAGCCCATTTGAGAATATAATTCCTTGGAGGGAGCAGAAGCCAAGGAACCACATGATCCAATGTGTATTAGAAGGGATGAGAAAGTGTATAAAAAAGGCCAGTTAATTATAAAAAGTTTAAAGGAGTGAACCAAGAAAAGAAAGAAAATTCAGCTCTCTTTCAGGGACAGCTTATGAACCTTTTAGAAAATTTACTAACATTGATCCTCCTACTGCTGAGTGTCAACCCCTGCTTCAACATTTTATCAGCCAGTCCAACCCTGATATTATGCCCACAAACCCCTAGAGGTAGGCTTTGTGGTATTTAATAATCGAGATCAAGCTGAAGAGGAAGAAAGAACCAGTGTGAAAATAGGCAGACCAGGGTTCATACTTAACTGATGGCCATTGCTGTCAGTCAAGCCTTGCAACCTCAGTGCTACCCAAGGGAGCCAAGGAAGTTTAAACATTCATTTGGAGGTAAACCAGCAAGGGGTTTCCTTGCCAACCCTGGCTTGGCAGGATGGCACTAGCAAAGAAGGGCAGCAAGAAGAAGGACTGGTCGGCCATCAGTAAGGTAGTGACCAGGTAGTGACACTACTAACATTCCCAAGCATATCCATGGAGTGGGTTTCTAAAAGCGTGCCCCATAGCCACTCAGAGAAATCCAGAAAGTTGCCGTGAAGGAGGTGGGAACTCCAGATGTATGCATTGACACCAGGTTAACAAAGTTGCCTGGGCCAAAGGAATAAGAAATGTCCCATATCATATCTGTGTGTGCTTGTCCTGAGAATATAATGAAGATTCACCAAAGAAGCTCTATATATTGGTTACCTATGTACCTGTCACCACTTTCAAAATCTACAGTTAATGTGGATGAGAACTAACTGCTTATTGTCCAGTAAAGTTATTGAACCACAAAACAAAATCCAGAAAGGGCTTCAAATGAGAGTCAGCTGGCCACTGGGCCTGTACATACCAGAAAGGAGTCCGGCCCATGCCCAGTCTTCAAACACATTTCCAAGGTCATTGGAAGTGGGACCTTTCCTGGTTCAGAGGGGAAGAGGATGCCCATTCCTGAGANTAGCTTAAGACAACATTTCCATACGAAAAAGAAACGTATTGGTCAACTCAAGGTTTGAGAGTAGTTAGCTTCAGGTGAGACCAGGTGTCATGGCAACACAGCACTTTAAGAGAAACCTCTTTTAAATTTGTATAGAGAAGGAAAAACATATCGCTGGTTTGTTTCTTCCTGCCGCTTAAGAGGGATAAAAATGTCTGGCACCTGCAGCTTCTTTTTTTTCCATTTGGAGACCCCTGGCCTTCCTGCCTGTTACCCTCTCATGTGAAAACTAGCTTTAAGGCAGAAGTCGCTTATTCTGACAAGAGACAGTATCCCATAAAGTTGGAAGCAAAAAGGATTTGCAGCCTTCATAGATAAATTCTTAAAACATGGCCTCTCAGTATCCTGTCAGTCTCCCAGCATTACCCCTATTCTGCCAGTTGTTAAGTCAAATGGGGAATATCCAATGGAACAAGACCTTAGAGCAATAGGTGATGCAGTGGTCCCTGTACCAGTCCTTATATTAGTCAAGATTCCTAGAGATGCCTAATGGTTTACTGTGGTTGACCTCCAGAATGCCTTCTTTTTTCACCCCAGTTCATTGCTCATCACATTCTGTGCCTTTGAGTGCACTAACCCTTACTCGGGCCAAATGCAAGAATATACCTGGACAGTATTGCCTCAGAGGTTTCAGGACAGTCCACGCTTGTTCTTCCAGGCCCTAGGAAAGAAACGGAAGGAAATATGCCTAAAAGAAGGATGATTCTACAGTATGTGGATGATATATTAATATGTAGCCCCACAATGGAGACCTCAGATCAGAATACCCTTGAAGTCCTTTGATTTCCTTGAGGCCTGGGGCTACAGGTTCTCCCACATAAAGGCACAAATCTCAAAGCAACAGTTTAAATATCTGGGATATGTTATAAACCCTGGAAGTAGACAGTTATTTCCAGATGGAAAACAAGCTATATTAGGCCTAAACATCCCACAGATAAACATATTTGTACCTTTTTAGGCATGGTAGAATTTTGTGAAATCTAAATTCCAGGATTTGGTCCAATGGTTAAGCCTCTATATGAAGCCAGTAAATGCCCAGATACAGAACCATTACTTTGGACTGGAACAAGAAGAGGCTTTTAGTAATAGCAAGCAGGCCCTCGCCAGAGCTCTTATTCTGGGCCTTCCTTTGTTTGCTTAACTTTTTATTTTATATTGGAGTATAGGTAATTAATAATGATGTGTTAGTTTCAGGTATATAGCAAAGTAATTCCATTATACACATATCTATTTCTTCTCAAATTCTTTCCCATTTAGGTTGTTGTATAATATTGATCAGAGTTCTATGTGCTATACAGTAGGTCCTTGTTGGTGAACCATTTAAAATGTAGCAGTGTGTTCATGTCGTTCCTAAACTCCCTAACTGTCCCTTCTCCCCCTCTTGCCCCACCCTAGTTTCTTCTCTAAGTCTATGACTCTGTCTTGTAAATAAGTTCATTTGTATAATTTTTTTTTAGATCCCACATATAAGCAATATCACATGATACTTCACTTTTCTAACTTACTTCACTCAGTATGAGAGACTTTCGGTCCATCCATGTTGCTGCGAATAGCATTATTCCATCCTTTTAAAATATTTGTTTACTTATTTTTAGTTTTGGCTGTGCTGGGTTTTTGTTGCTGGATATATGCCCAGGAATGGGATTGCAGGATGATATGGTAGCTCTATGTTTAGTTTTTTAAGGAAGCTCCATACTTTTCTCCATAGTGGCTGTACCAGTTTACATTCCCACCAGTGGTGTAGGAGAATTCCTTCCCTCCACACCCTCTTCAGCATTTATTTGTGGATTTTTTGACAATAACCATATTGACTGGTGTGAGGTGATATCTCAATGTAGTTTTGATTTGCATTTCTATAATAATCAGTAATGTTGAACATCTTTTCATATGCCTCCTGGCCATCTGTATGTCTTCTCTGGAGAAATGCCTATTAGCTCTCTGCCTATTTTTTGATGAGTTGTTTGTTTTGATATTGAGCTGCGAGAGCTATTTGTGATTTTGGAGACTAGTTCTGTGTCAGCCACACCACTTGCAAGCATTTTCTCTCATCCTGTGGATTGTCTTTTCATTTTGTTTATGGTTTCCTTTGGTGTGAAAAAGCTTTTGAGTTTAATTATGTCCAGTGTGTTTATTGTTATTTTTTATTTCCATTACTCTGGGAGACAGATCAAAAAAGATATTGCTGCAATTTATGTCACAGAGTGTTCTGCCTATGTTTTCCTCTAACAGTTTTATAGTGTCTGGTCTCACATTTAGGTCTTTAATCTCGTTTTGAACTTAGAATATTGTAATTTAATTTTTTTACATGTAGCTGTCCAGTTTCTGAGTACCATTTATTGAAGAGACTGTCTTTCCATCATTGTATAGCCTTGTCCCCGGTGTCACAGATTGATTGACCATAGGTGTGTGGGTTTATTTCTGGACTTTGTATCTTGTTCCATTGATCTACATTTCTGTTTTTGTGCCAGTATCATACGGTTTCGATGACTATAGCTTTGTAGTATAGGAGCCTAATTCAGGGAGCCTGATTCCTCCAGCTCTGTTTTTCTTTCTCGAGGTTCCTTTGGTTCTTCGGGGTCTTCTGTGGCTCCATACCAATTTTAAGAAGTTGTTGTTGTTGTTGTTATTCTAGGTCTGTGAAACATGCTGTTGGTAATTTGATAGGAATTGCATTGAATCCACAGATTGCCTTGGGAGTACGGTCATTTTGACAATGTTGATTCTTCCAGTCCAAGAACATGGTATATCTCCCCATCTATTTATGTCATCTTCAGTTTCTTTCATTGGTGTCTTATAGTTTTTGAAGTACAGGTCTTCTGTCTCCTTCAGTAGGTTTATTCCTAGGTATTTCCCACATCTTTGTGATGTGGTAAATAGGATTGTTTCTTTAATTTCTCTTCCTAATCTTTCATTGCTAGTATATAGAAAAACAATAATTTCTGTGTATTAATTTTGTAACCTACAACTTTGCCAAATTCATTGATGAGTTCTAGTAGTTTTCTGATAGTATCTTTAGGATTTTCTATGTATAAGTATCATGTCATCTGCAAACACTGACAGTTTAACTTCCTTTCCAATTTGTATTCATTTTATTTGTTTTTCTTTTCTGATTGCCATAGCTAGGGCTTCTAAAACTATGTTGAATAAAAGTGGTGAGAGTGGAAATCTTTGTCTTGTTCCTGATCTTAGAGGAAATGCTTTCAGCTTTTCACTGTTGAGGATGATGTTAGCTATAGGTTTGTCATATGTGGCCTTTATTATATTGAGATATGTTCCCTCTATGCCCTCTTTCTGGAGAGCTTTTCTTATAAATAGGTGATGAATTTTGTCAAAACTTTTTCTGCCTCAATTGAGATTATTATGGCTTTTAATTCTTCAGTTTGTTGATGTGGTGTATCACACTGATTTGCAGATACTGAGAAATCTAGGATAAATCCCACATGACCATGATGTACGATGCTTTTTAATGAATCTTTGGATTCAGATTGCTAGTATTTTGTTGAGGATTTTGCGTCTATGTTCATCAGTGATATTGGTCTGTAATTTTCTTCTTTTTGGTGGTATCTTGGTCTAGGTTTGTTTTTTTTAAGTATCGAATTATTTCAATATTTAGTTTCATTTTAAAATTAAAACTATTGGACAATTTTTTGCAATTTAAAATTCATTATTAGAGGTGAGGAGAACATTAATAAGCCATTAGTTATTGACAACAAATAAAATTATCAACCATGCATTTAAAAAAGCCATGTTAAAGAGTAAAAAGTTCCAATTATACTATTTAACCGAAGGAAATCTCCTTAACCTCTTTATTTCTAATGATAACATTCTCATTTTGACATAATTTACACCTTTTTCACCCAATTAATACAGTATAAACAAAATTTTTCCAAATGTTAAGACTTTACCATTAATGACATATAACTGTAACTCTTTAAGAGTTCCTTAAAAGAAATTTGAAATTTTAATTCTCACCATGAACCTGTCTGATCAAAAAGTAAAGGACACCACTACCACGTGAATTAAAACATAGAATGGAATAAAAAACAGAAGTGGTATCTATATAATCAGCAAATTATCTGATAAGACATTTTAACTACTTCACATTTCTGCTTAGCACAAGTGAGAATAAACTGGTTCCAAGGTACTACAAGGTTTGGCATTTTTCCTCTTAAGCTTTAAATCATAGTGTTACTCTACTCAAGTAATCTCTAAGAAAATGGCAGTGTTCATAAGTACAAAAATTATTATATACAGTAGGTGGTATGTTACATAGTCAAGATGACAAGAGAATTATTTATAAAATTAGATTTTTTAAAAAATTCAGAATATCTGGTAATTACCAGTATCTCAAAAGCAAAAATGAGAAAAATACAGAAAATAGAAGTACTCATTGAATAATATTATTTCGCCTTGAGGAAACCAGAAATGATTCTATTCCAAGAAATAAGTAATAATGATGAGATGTAATAACACCATATATCTTTTAAGCCAAAGCATGCTTTTCTGCTCAGAACAATTCTGATTTTTACATTCTTAATCTCCTTAGTCCAGAACAGGACCCCATTTGAAGTCATTATTTGAATAGAGTTCATAATCTAAAGCCACTTTTCTCCACAGGATGTTTTCATTTTAGTATTTATACAAAAGCTGCAAAAAGGCAAATGCAAGTGAGTTATAAGAATTTGTAGCATAATAAATGCCAATTACAGTAACTGTCAACAGACTTCTATACCGAAGCCAAAAAGCTGCTACAGTACAGGTGAGAACTGACATGATTCTTCCATAGACTCAGACTCCGTTTAGTAATACCCTCATAAGATCCAAAAGGAAACCTTAATGGGTCCTTTCAAAGGCGCATAATTTTCCAGTTTTCCTCTGGACAGACAGCCTGTACATTCCTTCAGTCCTTTTTTAGTCGTTTAGCTTTTGCAATGTTTTCCTGACGTTTTTGTTTCTTTTGCTCCTTTTCCCTGGGCTCAATCATCTTGGCCAATTTCTGAGACTGCACAGCTCTTGCTAGAAGCAATGGAGTCAGAGCCAAAATAACTGTTGTAAGGAAGCCATATGGGTCCTTTGCAGCCCACTCCACAGCACACTCAGCCCAGCCTTTAAGTCAAACATCTTTGTGGAGGCCTTATGCTTGAGTCAGTCAGCTCAGTTCAGTTCAGTAGCTCAGTCGTGAACGACTCTTTGCAACCCCATGAATCGCAGCACGCCAGGCCTCCCTGTCTAACACAAACTCCTAGAGTTTACTCAAACTCATGCCCATCGAGTCGGTGATGCCATCCAGCCGTCTCATCCTCTGTCGTCCCCTTCTCCTCCTGCCCCCAATCCCTCCCAGCATCAGGGTCTTTTCCAATGAGTCAACTCTTCGCATGAGGTGGCCAAAGTATTGGAGTTTCAGCTTCAGCATCAGTCCTTCCAATGAACACCCAGGACTGATCTCCTTTAGGATGGACTGGTTGGATCTCCTTGCAGTCCAAGGGACTCTCAAGAGTCTTCTCCAACACCACAGTTCAAAAGCATCAATTCTTCGGCGCTCAGCTTTCTTCACAGTCCAACTCTCACATCCATACATGACCACTGGAAAAACCATAGCCTTGACTAGACGGACCTTTGTTGGCAAAGTAATGTCTCTGCTTTTTAATATGCTGTCTAGGTTGGTCATAACTTTCCTTCCAAGGAGTAAGCGTCTTTTAATTTCATGGCTGCAATCACCATCTGCAGTGATTTTGGAGCCCCCAAAAATAAAGTCTGACACTGTTTCCACTGTTTCCCCATCTATTTCCCATGAAGTGATGGGACCAGATGCCATGATCTTAGTTTTCTGAATGTTGAGCTTTAAGCCAACTTTTTCACTCTCCTCTTTCACTTTCATCAAGAGGCTCTTTAGTTCTTCTTCACTTTCTGCCATAAGGGTGGTGTCATCTGCATATCTGAGGTTATTGATATTTCTCCCGGCAATCTTGATTCCAGCTTGTGCTTCTTCCAGCCCAGCGTTTCTCATGATGTACTCTGCATATAAGTTAAATAAGCAGGGTGACAATATACAGCCTTGACATACTCCTTTTCCTATTTGGAACCAGTCTGTTGTTCCATGTCCAGTTCTAACTGTTGCTTCCTGACCTGCATACAGGTTTCTCAAGAGGCAGGTCAGGTGGTCTGGTATTCCCATCTCCTTCAGAATTTTCCACAGTTTATACTTGAGTAGTGATCTCTAATTTTGTCCTGAGATTAGCAGCCAGTCACAATTTCAGATGACCTTTAGTTGGCTGTCTTTTTCTTTAACTCTACCAATACACTTGTGAGAGAAGGCTTAAATTCTATATACTCCTGTGCACCTCAATTTTGGACCCCAAGTGCAAGCGCCCTCCACACCAAGGAATAAATATTCTTCTTTCTTCTGAAGAGAATTGACCAGACTTGATCTTCAGACCAGACCCGCATGGCGCCTGAAGCTGATGGCACCTCACAGCCACCTGCACTTTGCCTTCCTTGTGTTTTCCCCTCGGCTCACTCTTCCTTCCTCATCCTCACCACTGCGGCCTCACTTCCCTGACCCTGCACACAGGCGACCGCCGGCGGGGCTCCAACAGCCGGCGGTCCCCGGGAATCAGGGGTCTTCCCCACCGCACCCTGGGCTGCCAGCGCTGTGCCCTGGCCGTCTCCGCTGAGCACCGGGGCAAAACAGCCGCTCCGGCCTCCACCCGCCCCCCTACATCTCACGGGGCATGGTGGGTTCGGACCCCCCACTCCCGACTCACCGCTTGGTCTAGTTTTGGTATAAGGGTAATGGTGGCCTGATAGGATAAGTTCAGGAGTTTTCTTTCCTCTGCAATTTTTTGGAACAGGTGTAGGATAGGTGTTAACTCTCCTCTAAATGTTTGATAGACTGCCTGTGAAGCCATCGGGCCCTCATTTGTTGAGAGTTTTTAATCATAGTCTCAATTTCAGTGCTTGTGATTGGTCTGTTCATATTTTCTATTTTTTCCTGGTTCAGTCTTGGGAGACTGTGCTTTTCTAAGAATTGTGTCAATTTCTTCCAGGTTGTCCATTTTATTGACATACACAGTTACTTGCCCTAGTCTCTTATAACCCTTTGTGTTCGTGTAGAGTCAGTTGTAACTTCTCCTTTTTCATTTCTAATTCTATTGTTTGAAGCCCTCTCCCTTTTTTCTTGATGAATCTGGCTAAAGGTTTATCAATTTTGTTTATTTTTTCGAAGAACTAGCTGTTAGTTTCATTGATCTTTTCTGTTGTTTACTTCATCTCTATTTCATTTTCATTTGTTTCTGCTCCAATCTATGATTTCCTCCTTCTACTTAACTTTAGGTTTTATTTATTTCTCTAGTTGCTTTAGGTATAAGTTTAGGTCGTTTGAGATTTTTCTTGCTTTCTGAAGACTGCATTGCTATAACCTTCCCTCTTAAAACTGCTTTTGCTGTATCCCATAGGTTTTGTTTGTTTGATTGGTTTTCTGTGTGTGTGTGTGTGTATGTGTTTTCTTTTTTTAGTTTGTTTTTGGTGATGTCATGTGACATGTGGAAATTCATCCTGTAGATTTTGGATCACTGAGCTTTCATTTTCGCTTGTGTCTAGGTATTTTTTTTTTATCTCCTCTGTGATTTCTTCAGGGACCTATTAGTTGTTTAGCAGCATTTGCTTAGCCCCCACTGAGCCCCACTGTTTGCGTTTTTAGTTTTTTTCTTGTACTCTACATCTAATCTCATAGTGCTATGGTCAGAAAAGAGGATTGACGTGGTTTCAGTTTTCTTAAATGTATTGAGGCTCACTTTGTGGCCCAACATGTGGTCAATCCTGGAGAATGTTCAGTGTGCACACAAGAAGAATGTGTCTTCTGCTGCTTTTGGATGGAATGCTTTATAAATACCAAGTCCGTCTGATCTAAGGAAGGCCTGTGTTTCCTTATTGACTTTTTTGTCTGGATGATGTGTCCATTGATGAAAGTGGTATGCGGAAGTCCCCCACTATTATCACGTTACTGTCAATTTCTCCCTTAATGGTGGTATTTGCCTTATATATTGAGGTGCTCTTGTGTTGGGTTCATATGTACTTAAAATTGTTTTATGTTCTTGGATTGATCCCTTGATCATTATGTAGCATGCTTGTCTTCTGTAACAGTCTTTATTTTAAAATCTATTTTATCTGAAATGAATATTGTTACTCCACCTTTGTTTTGATTTCCATTTGCATGGAATACCTTTTTCCATCTCATCACTTTTAGTCTGTATGTGTCCCTAAGTCTGAAATTGGTCTCTTGTAGACAGCATATATATGGGTGTTGTTATTGTTTCTGTTTCTGTTCAGCCAGTCTGTGTCTTTTGTCTCATGCATTTAATCCATTTACATTTAAGGTAATTATTGATATGTATGTTTCTATTGCCATTTCCTTAATTATTTTGTGTTTTTTATAGGTCTTTTTTAGTCCTTTCCTCTTTTGTTCTCTTGTGGTTTGATGATCATCTTTAATGTTATGTTTGGGTTTTTCTTTTTTGTATGTGTATCTATTGTAGTTTTGGGGTTAGCTGTTCCCATGATGGTTTGATATAGCAGTCCTTATATGTACAAGGTTATTTTAAGTTGCTGGTCCCTTTCCCACCTAGAGAAGTTTCTTTAGCGTTTACTGCAAAGCTGCTCTGGTGGTGCTGAATTCCCTTAGCTTTTGGCTCTAAAAATTGAATTTCCCTGTCAAATCTGAATGAGGGCCTTGCTGGGTGGAGTATTCTTAGTTGTAGGTTCTTCACTTTCATCATTTTAAATATATCATGCCAGTCCTTTCTGGCCTACAAAATTTCTGCTGAAAAACCAGATGATAACCTTATGGGAGTTCCCTTGTATGTTATTTGTTAATTTTTCTCATTGCTTTTAATATTTTTTTCTTTTCTTTAATTTCTTTCTTTTCTATTTGATTGCTACATGTCTCAGCATGTTCCTCCTTGGGTTTATCCTGCCTGTGACTTCCTGCACTTCCTGGACTTGGCTGACTGTTTCCTTTCCCATGTTAGGGAAGTTTTCAACTATTATTTATTCAAATAATTTCTCAGGTCTCTTCTCTCTCTCTTCTCTTTCTGGGATTCCTATAATGCAAATTTTGGTGTGTTTAATGTTGCCCCAGAGGTCTCTTAGACTGTCTTCGTTTCTTTTCATTCTTTTTTCTTTATTCTGTTCTGTGGCTGTGATTTCTACCACACTATCTTCCAGGTTACTTATCTGCTCTTCTGCCTCAGTTATTTTGCTATTAATTCCTTCTAGTATGTTTTTCATTTCAGTTATTATATTGTTCGTCTTTGTTTGTTCTTTAGTTCTTCTAGGTCTTTGTTAAACATTTCTTACATGCTCTCAATTCTTGTCTCTGTCATTTTTCTGAGATCTTGAGTCTTTTTCACTATCATTATTCTGAATTCTTTTTCTGGAAGATTGCTTAACTCCACTTCACTTAGTTGTTTTTCTGGGGTTTTCTTTTTCCCTCATCTGGGACATATTCCTCTGCCATTTCATTTTGTCTAACTTTCTGTGATTGTGGTTTTGGAGCTGCAGACTGCAAAACTGAAGTTCTTCCTTTTGCTGTCTGATGAAAGAGGTTTGTGCCAGCTTCCTGATGGGGTGGACTGATGGGGCTGTGTCTTATCACGCTGGTTGGCAGGACTGCGCTCCATGAAACTTCAATCTCTTTGTCTGCTGATGGGTGGGGCTGTGTTCCCTTCCTGTCGGTTGTTTGGCCGGAGGCAGTGCAGAACCCTCAGGCTGTTTTGTGGGGCAAATGTCTGGCCGCCTGCAGGGCTCATGCAAATGAGTGCTTCCAAGAACTGCTGCTGCCAAGTATCTCTCCTCACAGTGAGCCACAACTACCCCTTGCCTCTTCAAGAGACTCTCCAATACTAGCAGCTAGGCCTGCCCATTCTCTTCTGTGGTCATTACTTTTTTCCCTTAGATCCTGATGTGCTGAGACTTTACGTGTGCCTTCCAAGAGTGAAGTTTCTGTTTTCTCCAGTCCTGTGGAAGTCCTGCAATCAAATCCCACTGAATTTCAAAGCCAGATTCTCTGGGGACTCCTCCTCCCATTGACAGACCACCCCCCACCCCAACCCCCGGCTGGAAAGCCTGATGTGGTGCTCAAAACTTTCATTCCAGTGGGAGAACTTCTGTGGTACAATTGTTTTCCAGATTGTGGGTTGCCCTCCTGGTGGGTATGAGATTTGATTTTATTGTGATTATGCCTTTCCTGCAGTTTCACTGTGGCTTTTTCTTTATCTTTAGAGGTAGGGCATCTTTTTTGGTATGTTCTGGTGTTTTTTTTTGGTCAGTGGTTATTCAGCAGTTAGTTGTGATCCTTGTGTTCTCGTAAGAAGGGGTGAGTGCACCTCCCCATTTAAAAAAGACATGCATCTTGTACATGGCTGAAAAGCAAGGGAAAGCTTTTGGGGTCCTTATACAGAAGCTGGGAGCAGTTCCTTAGCCTATAGGCTGTTTTTCCAAACAACTTAATTCCATGGCCTGAGGTTGGCCTGGCTCCCTCTGGGTAGTAGCTGCCACTGCTTTATTGTGGGAGAAGCTGACATGCTTACCTTTGGACAGACACTGGAAGTGCAGGCCCCCTGTCAATACACGGAGTCCTGATGATTAAAGGCCACCATTGGCTAACTGGAGGCTGCCTTATTAAATGCCAGTCTTGACTCCCCAGAGGTAACCCTCAAAACTGGCCACACCTTCAACCCAGCTACACAGATACCTGCTGAAAGCCCCAAACTAACATATTCCTCCCTCAAAACCCTTGACCAGGTTTATGGCTGTAGGTCTGCTCTAACGGAGCAGGCCACAGAAAAGTCTGAGGAAGAATGGTTTGTTGATGGCATCAGTTTTATTAAAGATGGAGCCAGAAGAGCAGAGTATGCTGTTGTGAATGCTCCTAGTGTTATAGAAGCAAAGCTTTTTTCTCATAAGCCTTCTCTTCTCAGTCACACTCTTTCATGCTATACTTCGCCTAATGCTTTGTTGTCTTCCCTACTGTTGTAAATCTGTGACTAAGACTTTTTCATCCAAGAAGGAGACCTGGACCAATAGTTCCAGACCTTTCATTCTAAAAATAGAAACATGTCAACCTTTAACCATGAGATTAACAAAAATATAAACCCAAGCAGAATAGCACTGTAATTTTGGCAAGGATGATATAGCCTCCCCTGTCTAGTCAACAGTTAAGGAAGCCCTCCCAATGTTAACTGATTTCTTCCCTTTCTAGGCCCTTTGTTCTCCTTTTCGCCCTTGTTTATTTAAGCTTTTGGTTAAGTTTGTGTCTTCTAGGCTCCAACAATTTCAATTAAGGCTCATGATGGTTCAAGGAACTTAAACCATAGCAGTGGAAATTGGCCCAGGTTCCTACAGGTCCTTGGAACAGTCAGTGAGGGACTTACACACCTCTCAGGTAGGCT